GCAAAAAAAAAAAAAAAAAAAAAGAATCAAATCGCTGCGATGTTTGATAGGTTCGTCAATATAAATAACATCGTCGGGGGGAAAAAAATTCCCACAGACGATGCATTCGGAGTTAAGCACGCGCGTTAACCTATTGCCCTATAATATACAGTCACACTCGCGGCGCAAATTATAGTTTAAAACGCGGCTTAATATATCTCGACATTTTTCACCTGTCATGGTGCTCGACCAGTTACACAGCCGCACGCAACCATTAAAAGAAACCGTATGGAAACACTTTAAACTTGGGAAGAACATCCACGGTCGAACGGGAATTGGAAACTGACGAATTCGTTGACGTATTCCACCGCAACTTTCGAACATCGGGCGAACTTTATAACCATCATCCACCAAGCTATGGAACGGGAGATTGATCGGTCGCACGAGCAACCAGAACAAGCAATTTCCCGTCCTTTCTACTCCCTGGAAATCGCCGTTTCTTCGCTTTTATCGCCGACGATTTGGACGACGTCGAAACGACTCTCCACGACTCGGTCGCTCCATTTCGCGTTACGTACGTATTAAACCGTGCACAACGTCGAGAGATGGGCCCCTGTAATTTTGGCAGACGCGATATCGCGACCTCGCCGCGATAAAAGCTCCGCCGGAAGCGGAGGGTCGTTACTCAAAAGCCAGGACGCCGCGAGAAATCGATTCCCCGGCGAGCACCGCTTCGAGACGCGTTTGGCACGCGTGCCAACGCGCGTGTACGCGTATTTGCACGAGACTCGACGGGCAGAACGGGCAGAAATGAATCTCGTCTCCGTCTCGTCGAGAATTTGGAAAAGTCACGTGGGGGGAGAGGCAATGATCTTTCTCGTGTAGAATAAAAAAAAAAGGAAAAAAAAAAGGAAAAAAAAGAGGGAGAGAGAGAAAATTGAAGACACTTACATGGAATTGGTGGTGTTCCAGTACATGCTGATCGTCTTTGCGCAATTGCTCACGGTCGAGAGTAATATCGTTTGCAGGCAGACGAAGAACACCAAAGTTACAAAGGACGTGGAAACCATCGTAACAACGTGGACGGACGAGCAGCGCGCACCGCGTCACCACTGCTCACCGGGAATACAACAATCAACAAACAAACGACGAGAACAACAAGAATAACAACAAATACGTTGACGACACCTGCACCTTTGTCGCTGCCGTCCACGACCACCTTCCACCACCGTTGCACGGACACCACATCCACACTTTCACTATCCTCCTCGTTAACTATTAAGTTCTTGCTTTCCTTTCACTCTTTCCCCCTTTATTTTATTTTCCCTTCTTTCCCTTTTTCCTCGAACGATCAAACTATGGGACTCGCGTATCACTCGTCCCCGCTTATCCTCCCGAGAAACATTCCCAACAAGAATTCGCCGATCGTTCCAACGGTACACAGTTTATCCGCACAAGTTGGTACACTCCTCCGATTCGATGTTTTCGAGCGAGGAGAGTGAATCTAACGGATGAAGGGAGAGAACGTTGAGAACGTTGACTTCACGAATAGCGAAATTCTTTGGTGAAATCGTTCTCGGCGAACGACGATTGGCCGTTAGAACCGATTAAATTTCTCCGGTGTTCGGCTGCTTCCAACGGTGTCCACCGAGGTACGCGTTCCATGGATCCACCCCGTGTTTCTCTCACCACGAGCGCACCTTGCTTGCCCTCTCATTGGTCTAACTTTTCTTAAATCCGATCGGGACGACGAGAGACTATCGACGAAACATAGATTATTTCGATAGACGGGACGAACAGGTGACGCATCGGAGAGACGAATTTTTTTTCTTTTCAAAAATCCATCCGACGAAACAACTCTTGGAACGACTTCTTCGTTGGTACACTTCTTCTTTCACGGACAGTAAGAGCATCCGACGCTCGGCGACGGAATCACGCGAATCACCGTGGAAGAGAAATTCTCCCGAGCATCTCACCAACGATCCTTTCTCTCGGATCGACGCCGATGTGTCGTTGAGTTTAAAAGGGGGAAAAAAAGAAAAGGTTTCACAAAAAAAAAAAAAAAAAAAAAAAAGACAGTATCGAAGGTTTCTCACAACTATAAACGAGATCTCTCGAGACACCGAATAATAATAAAATGCACCAGTCTCCTGCTTCTCCTGGGGCTATCCTGGCAGCCACTAGGAACAGAAGAAATTCCGATCGCAACAGATCGCACTGTGAAATCTCACGCTAGGAGCACAAGAAAGCTAGCGAAACGAAGTGGTAGCCTCTTTCGCCCGAAGCACACCCCCGTACTTTCTCACGCACTTGCGATTCGCACGGATCGCGTAGCCAGCGAAACGGAGCGACGCTCTCTCTCTCTCACTGTCCACCACGCGAACGTATTCCCCAACAGGATCGAATCGGAGCGATGCCGATCTTCGTTAAATCCAATTGGGGCCGATGCAACACTTCGTCTCCGTATACGAGAGTAGGTCGAGAAACGCGTCGAACCGGTGTGGAGGAACGGCCGAGAACGATTGTTACAAGAGGCACGAGCTGCGCCGAGAGACGAGCACCGTGAACGCAGAGAGAACGGTACCTTCCTGTTCGGTGTCGCGGACGCGTCTGTCGGCCG